AGTTTTGTCCCCTCTCTACAATGGAAATGAGTTTTTCACTGAAAGTTTATATCACTATCAAATTTGTTAGTCATTTTGTTGATAGTTTCCTTCATTTCAATCCAGTTCCGCTTATATCCTGCTGTATGCTAAGACTGCTGAACTCCATGGCTTCTGTGAAGGTATGAAGACACAGTTTAGTAAACGCATAAGATAGTTCATATTCTAATGGTGAGCTGATATTTCTAAGATGTGGTCTTTGATAGCACTTCTTTATTCTTGAAGTTAACCTAGAAAAGTTAGACAGTACATAGTAGTAGTCTTAATTTTTATTCTTCTCAATGCCCAAACTACTACTCTACTAGTATAAATAAGTAGGATCTGGTTATAGTTTTCAAGCAAGAAGTGAGCATAGAGATGATTTAATTCCTATCTCTTATTTTATTAAAAATAATAAAGACAGTGACTTGCCCAGCATTTCATCAGTTATTGGGGTGACATAACTAAAACATGGGTAGCTGGTGGCTTTCGGTCCTTTCTAGAATCCAGTTCAGCTCTGTGAGTTGCCTGTTCATGGTGCGTAAGGCAGACAGAAGCCTTACCCTCCGAGAGTTCACCGTCTGCTAAAGAAAACAGAGAAAGAAAATTATTTGTAATTAGAAGGAGGTTTACAGTGTGCTGGAACCTAGCACCTAACCAGAGAAATTGAACCTAGACCAAGGCTCAGGGAACACCTCTTGCTGATTTCATAGAACTTGAAAATGCCTATGGTGAAGTTCGTCAATGAGAGAAGAACATATTCTCGGCACTCTGAATAGTGCGTACCAAGAGTGAGTAGATGGTGTGAGAGGAACTGAGTGAGGGCCAGAAGGAGCCCAGGAATCAAAGGGAAGGGAGCTTGAGATACATAAGCTAGCTTGGATCAGACTGTGTGGACCATGGCAAGGATGAGATGGATTTGAAGTGCAAGATTTTAAGCAGCGGAGCGGCTATCCTTGGAAGTCATGTGAAACCTCTGAGTGTGGCTTTATTCTCAATGGCCTAAGAGCAGAATCCACACCAGTCCTCAGGGTGATCCTGACCCACGTGCTCAGCAGTGATGGATAAAGGCATGGGAAGTGCAATCGGTTCTGTCTGTCATTCTGTCACTCTGGGTCTACACCGCCATGTCTTGCTTTCTAACCTCCCCACAGACCTCTGGTTTGGATTGGGTTTCTGACAATGTTTGGAATAATCTCATCTTCTCCCCTTGACCTGTCAGCTCCCCTGTTCTGCCACCTTGCCTCGCTTTAAATATGGAGGTCCTATATTGGTGACTCAGGACACTGATTTTTTCTGTCAGATGCTCAGCTATCTGTGGATTTGCGTCCTAGTAAGTGACATCAGTCACTTAAATTCATTTCTTTTAGCACCGAACTTGCAACCAGAATTTCAAAGGAATCATATGCATTGGCTGCCTCTGTTGCTTTGCTTTATTAAGAACGTGTGGATTCTAAAATATTGATTTAATTTCTAACGACTTACAACTTCACTCATTCCAGTTGATGTGACTTCTTTTTCTTTGGAGTTTTCCATGGATGATGGACGTGAGATGTTTGTGTTATCACTGCGTGCTCAACTGTTTTTGATTTTTTCTTTCATTTACAGTTCTCTCGTGTACTAAAGAACAGAGCCTGGCCCACCTTTAAACAAGCCAAATCGAAAGTCTCCCCACTGCACAGCAGTGATTTCTGCCCTACCAATTGCCATGTCAACGTGATGGAAGTTTCTTACCCCAAGACGTCGACCTCCCTGGGGAGTGCATTTGGGGTCCAGCTGGATAGCAGGAAGCATAATTCTCACGATAAAGAGAATAAGTCTGAGCAAGGTATGTTAGCGTTTGAAACTTTATCAAACCATGAAAAGTCATGCAGGCCATCATAACTGTTCCCACATCCCTGAAACTGGATCGATCCCTGGTGTGTAAGCAAGTCAGAATGCTTCTAAAGACAGGATTGCTCCCTAACCATCATTTGGATGATGATGCGTAGTGTTTTTAGAATGAAAAAGGAGTTATTACATGTATGATAGGCGCAGCTCATCCCCCTGTGAAAGCTGTTAACCTGAAATGGCCCTATAACTATGAGAAAAAACAGGGGAGCAGCTGTCGGAGATGCATAAATGTCATTCCTCACCATCTCAACAGGATGTAGGATTGAGCCGTGTTCCTAACACTTAATCCCAACTCCCCGTAAGCTTTGATTCCTGAATTAAATTCGGCATTGGATTGGCACCTTGTTTTATGTAAGCTCGGACCTCTGAAATGAATTGCACTGGGTGGCTGCTATAAATGAAAGGTGATAAATATTACTGTGGATTGACTCTCACCCCTCAGGGAAGCTGAGCCCGATGGTGTACATTCAGCACACAATTACAACCATGGCGGCCCCTTCTGGCCTGTCTCTGGGGCAGCAGGATGGGCATGGTCTCCGGTATTTGTTAAAAGAGGAAGACTTAGAAACCCAAGATATCTATCAAAAACTGTTGTGCAAACTTCAGACGGCACTGAAAGAAGTGGAGATGTGTGTTTGCCAAATAGACGAGTAAGTATTTTATTGACTCTACTTTTTTTTTTTTTCTCTCCTTTTAGCTGAGCCATCCTGCCACCTGTTGGCAGCTCAGCGGCAGCTCAGCCCCGGCTGGGCATCGAACCACTGTTGCTCAGAGCTCACACTCTTGAGCGAGCTCTTAACCAACTGAGCCACTCGGCCGGCCTGACTCTACTTTTAAATGTATCTCATAAAATAGATGTAGAAAATGAGACTTGTGAACATCCATCATTCTCTCTTTAGTTTTTGGAAATGTAGGTAGGAGATTTTTGCTGACCATATAGATCCTCTTCATTCTAACACCTTCAAAGTGATAAAACATGGCAACTATCAGTAGATATATATATTTTAAGGAAGCATTTAATATCAAGGGAAAAAACTGAAATTTTATCATATAGAAAACACTAAATACATTTTCGCGTGAAAAAATCAAATTGGGAAATGATTGAAAGGGTATGCACTATGTATAGGGATTTCTTTGTAACTTTTACAAAGCAGAACACAGTACTTGGTGTANAAAAGGAGGAAGCATTGTGGATCACATAGTCAGCAAACGCTAGCTGCTGTAAGCTGGAAAGATTTGTCAGGGTGAAGAGGAGGAGAGATGGCACTCAGTAAAGAGAGATACCATAAGTGGAGGCAAATATGTAGACATGAGACTGATGTATCGATGAAAAATTGGCATTCTGCCTGGACCAGAAAGGAGGATTTAAGTGGGATTCAATAAGAAGGGGGAAACAAACAAAAAAAAACTTGACAAAATCTAATTTTTCCAATGATATTTTGGAGTGGCATAATGATCAGGTTTGTTTGTAAGAAATACAAGTAGATGGTGACTTGGACTCAGGTGGAAGCATTGGGGAAGGAGAGGAAAGGATCATTTCAAGCTATGCATAGGAGGTAAACTACAGAGTGCACAACAGAATACATACACATTTTAAGAAAGGAAAACTGTATTAAAATAGTAATGTTCAATATACACCGATAACGAAAGATTTTTTTATACAAGTCACATGTATACATTCTTTTTTGGCGGTATAGACAGCTTTATGATGAATTAGTTATGGAAGATGAAGAGGGTGTTATCTCTTTTTTCTAACAAATATATGGTTTGTGATAAACTGAGGAGTGTACGTTATGGGGATCAGAAGCATAAGATTAAGGGTTTTCCCCTAAATGTTGGGGATTCTAAAAACATCACCCTGGTGAGTGAGAAGTGTCTTCCGTTTCGTTCTCTCGGGAGTAACTGGGAGCCTGGGAAGCTTTTAAAGCAGAGATGGGCAGGATGATGGACCGTGATTTTAGGTGATAAAAAT